CACAATTTTTATATATCTACACATCAAACATCATAGTTTTTATATTTACATGCATAACATTCAAGATTTCAACATCACATCAAATATAGCACGATTATCAGCTTTTAAAAGTAAAATATACATTTTTCATGCATAGATTTATGACACAAAAGAATTATAAATATAAATATCAAACCTTAGGTATTAGATAAGTAAACATAGATAACTTATATGGTATGTATGAATATGAGGATCATTATTAAAAATTCATTAAAGTAATTCATTCTTCTTTTAAAATCCTAGCCTATCATAACATTTTTACAGTCTTGTAGGCCAATAATGCAAGAACTCTATAGCTTCAAATCATACAAAAATAATGAATAATATCAAAAGGCAGCCTTCCAAACTCAAATTTACCAATCAAATTGCATAAAATGTGAAACATGCAAAGCATCAATTTCTTCATCTAAGCACATGATAGCTAGTTTACTTTCATTGGCAAATGCTTTCCTAAACTTCCGTACATATAAAGCCATTGCATAATTATAGAAACCAATATACTTATTTGCTTTAAACATAACATATTTTTTATATAACGTGACACAAACAAATTCTAAAATAAAGCAACAAAGCGATCCAAAAGCACTATGAAACCAGGCTTAAACTTTTTGTTCAAAAGCACGAAAAATTATTATGTTGGGAGTCCGGACGTAGAGGTGCGTTCGGTGTCTAATAAAATCAAGCCATGTGGAGGTGATAAAAAAATTAAAAATTTTGTTTTAGCACAAGAGAATATTTACCCGTGTTATTCCGCGTTATTCATGTGTTATTGTGGTGGTATTCATGTATTAATATGGTCTGGGAATATTTTCGTTGTTATAATAAAATAATAACACATCAATACTACCACAATAATACCTGAATAATGTAGAATAACATGGGGGAATATTTCCTTGTACTAAAACGATTTTTTTTTTTAAATTTTTCTGTCACCTTAAGTGACGTGATTTTATTGGACTCCGGATGTACGGCAAAAGCAGACATGGTAGAAACCTCATGCTATCGATCAATCAATCATAAATTGATTACATTCTTTTTTATTTTTATCAACTCAACGGCTAATTGCATCTTACTTCAGCTTCCACTGAAGGAATTAATATAAAGAAAACGACAAAATTAAGGAAAAACCAACGGGGAAGCCATACATGAACTCATAATCATAGCCTCCTTTCTCAAATGAGCTATGTTGCATGGGCCATCATCAACCTCCATTATCTCCATAATATCCCCATTCTCATTTTTCAGAAGCTTGAGCTTCTCCTTCAGCTCTGTTTCTTCCTTTCTAAGCCTATCATTCTCACCAACAATCTCATGCTGTCGCCTCATCATCTGGTTCAGCTGATCAAGGAGCTGGCGGTTGGCGGAGCGGAGGCGGTCGACAAGCGAAGAAAGCTCGTCAAGTTGCCTTTTCTTTCGCATCCTCGACCGTCTCGCGGACTCGCGGTTAGATATCATTCGGCGCTCCACGGCGGGGTTGAGGACCTTGTATTCCTCAGCCTCGTCTGAAGTGGAGTTGGGAGTGAGGAAATAGGGAGGATGGAGTAGCCCGCTGGTTGAGTATGGTTCGCCCGAGAATCCGCTGAAGGCGAGGTGGGGGGCGGTCGATGTTTGGGGTGGAGGGAGGTGAAAATGGAGACTTGTGAGCTCTGAGGGATACATGTTGGGAGGTAGGAGAAAGATGGAGGGTGAAGGAGAAAGGTGGGATTTTTATAGAAGTGGAATGAGGAGATGAGGTTGGATGAGGTTAATTCACTTTTGGCAGCCAAACACTGAACTTTAACTCTTTAATAATAATGATAAAAGCAAACAAATTCTTATCAATAACACATGATATCTTTGCATCATTCATGCTTGTGAATTGTTTTTTAGCTGTGGAGTAGCACCTAAATAGTATTTGGATGTGGGAAAACGAATTATATTAGAACATATTAAAATAATAAAATATTTATTTAAAGGAGGAAAAAGGATATGATGTCATGGTTAAATTTTTTAATCAGAATGAACCTTTCAGCCATTGCATTAGCTTTAAAATGATGTAAAATAAATTTTATTTAAAATTTCATATACGTATCTCAAAGTGAATCCAAAAACTTATAGCTCTATCATGATCAAAATTTGATAAGATATCCATATATATATATATAT